AGGTACTAAAACGATAATAGTATAGTTACAGACACTGACAAGAAGTATTTCAAAATTTGGTACTTTTCCAAACTTCAACGAAAAGAAAGGTATTACAAATACATAATCGACTTTCGGTATAATTACACACAATGAATTATGACTAACAAGAAGTAATAAAAATTTTGGTGCTTTTCCAATTTTGGGTGAGGAGATTTCTTTCTTTTTTATTCTTTATTCAAAACAGTGGTCAGCATGGCAGCAGTACATAAAAAAATAATTTTTACCGCTAGGAATCGTACTCTTCGGTGTACTTTTTCCGACAGATTATGAAAAAAATATCTAACTCAACTTTATGAACACTCGGACAATTTAGAGTGACGTGCGCAGTTTTATCATGTTGAAGTATATACAGAAGTGTAATCCTGGTAATAACGCTAACATATTGAATTTCTCTCTATCAATGTTACAGAGAGTGTTTCAAGTTCTACCTCGCGGCTTACTGGCTACAGAAGGCGATTACGGCAAAGTAAAGCTTTCCTCTCGTCTGATCTGCTCACTGACAAATTTCCGGGGAAGTTTATCATATTTGACTGAGTGCGATCTACCTATATCTGAGCCGGATGTTAATGCGAGCAATCCCCACTGGTACCCACATGGACAGTAATCGCTATCCCTACCAATCCCTAAGTTGTAAGTTGGGGCTTAGGGTCTCAGAACCTTAATAAAAATCCATTACTGTGGCTTGGGTTGGAATGTTGTCGACGTATCAGGACCGCCTACTTGGGATTTGATGGCGACGACTGAGGAGGATATAGTCCGACTGATAACTGACGTATTGAGAGATAGCAGAAATTCTGTCTGTGAAGTAAAATTGACTTTGTCCACAGAAAAACGCACGCGATATTTCACATCAAACTTTTCTTGTGGCATCTCCGCACGTTTATGACTCTACTTTATATTTTCCACATTTTACGATCCTTTTTTATTGCTCCTTGGTGGTTGAAGCAGAGATGGACACTCTGATTGAATCGAGATACCTCAAAAAACTTTCATTCAGTTTACGATTTGAGAGCGGAATTTCTCACTCGCACTGTATTTGGAGTATCGATTTATTGACAAGTGACGTCATAACATGGTTTCGCCTTGGGTCAAAGGTCGCCGAAACACTGGGCTTACACAAAGTAAAAGTCAGACTGTTTGTCAAAACATTGCGTTTTGAAGATGATCTCTTGGTTTGTATTTTTCCTGCCGTATCTTACATTTCCAGACGATACCGACATCTGTCAACACCTGTCTGAAGACACAGGTGGCCCACCTGTCCGGACATTCACATCAAAGGAACCGCCAAGGAGATAACCAGCTCCTCCTGAGAACCCGGCCCGTCCTTCAAACCCAGATGGCGCGCTGTTGTCAAAATAAGGCGGGCGATGCTTTCTTATGGCCGCGGGGCTGGCGAGTGGGCACGGTAGGAAGGGTGCGGGCAGTGTACACAACAAAGCCAGCTTCGTAGAAAAAACAAAAATGCATACCTTTCAATCCCCTTTTAGCAAACCTGAAATTTTCGAAGGACTTTCGAAACAATGCTAAGATACAGGAAGTTTACCGGTTAAACAACCTGTCGTAAAGCACGTTTCTTCTTTGACCGTCCAGCGTGGGCCTTTTCAGATCTCCGTGTTTACGGATATCGGATGTGAAGGAAATGTGTTTTGTACCGACAGTTCCAGCTATACTAACGTTACATCCCAAAGTGTTCCAGAGATATTCTAGGAAAGCGGCTATGAGCATCACCTTGTTTATCGTAGATAACATCTCTGCAGACTAGAGAAGACTATAGTATTCCTCTCAGACGTCACTAACTCTAGGTAATGTAAACATTCTCAAGGGAACGTCTGTGGACTTGTCGCCTTACAACCGAACACTAAGACATTACAGTATCCAGTATGCTTAGTCATCAAAATTATTAGTCTATGTCTTTTTTGTTTGTTGTGTTATGATGGCTATTTAGGATGGTATCAGTTGTCAACGATTCGCCATAGGATCGTTATTTTTTGTATTTTTCATAATACTGCAAATATTAGTATTGTAATACTGGTCTCAAATTGGTCTATATTATAATGCCGTTGAACCAGTCCAAGACTTTGAAACTGAAGCAATGTTTCTCTCTATACCTAGAAGCAGGGCGGTTCCATTGAGCAGATCGAGGGGGTAAGTCATTACAAAATGGAATCGTCCATCCCTCTACCTACCGGAAAACGGTATGGCACCTTCCATTTGTGTTAATATGTTATTCGTACTGTAACAATTTATAAATTCATTTCATTTTGTTTTGTTTCTGTTTACAATCTTACTTATTTTCCTATGTTTCAATACTTCAAATATATCTGACGCATTAGGACATCTCTCTCTTTTCTCATTGCTTATTTCTGTCAATAGCTCTATACTCTGGTAGGATGCTGGGTCTATACACCTGTCAGATATAGAATGATTGGTTGTAACCGTGCCTTCAAATGGGGTCATAAAATTAACAGCCTCTACAGTTACACTGTACTAAATCTCGATCACAAACTATTTTGGAGATTTAGAGCTTTAAGCAATTAAAACGCACTGAAGTGTACATCTGGCCTTCTTTAAGAAAATCAAATCATGCCTTCCAGCCTTACATGTGTAATCTCTTAGATAATGGCGCTGTTTCTTTTCAAGTGATTGTCACAATTAGGCCAATATTAGTGCCTGTGATGATATAGTCTTGCCGTGGTTTTTGCGGGAATGCGGAGCCTATTATACTGGGAGGACAGAGAGCATCTGGGCACTGAACGGCCCTGTCCTGTACCCATCTATCTTCTACACCCATTTTGCTACCAGACGATTATAAATCTCTTAGTCTTGGCGGATAATGTTAGCCTTACGTGGCCTATTGATCCTCCACTTCCCATAGATACCAAGGACGAAAACCTTCGGGGCACCGAGCACCACAATATCATGGGAACATCCCACCAGCTCTGACTTCCAAACCACAGATGGGAAGAAGAAATGAACTTAATATCATGTCTAGATTTGAAAATTTTTACTACTTATGGAAACATTATTGAGTGAATAGATGCGTTCCAAATAGAATGTGAAGGCTGGGATAGTTAAGAAAATGCCGAACAAATGAAGTATTTCCGCAGCGCGGGGCATGTTTAAGTTCATGTGCAGGGGCCTTCGGGCCGCCCTGGGTGGATGTGGTAGAAGGTAATCAAGGCCAACATCTCACACAAGATCCGGTACAAGGACCGCCAAGGTTACCGCTATGGGGGTGGTACTGTTGCATACAGGAAGTTTTGGCCCAAACGCTTGTTAACACATGTAAAATTCTGCGCTTGTCGGCTGGGTTTGGGTTGCACATGGGGGAAGTTTTGTAGCGTGTTGCGTGAGAGGGAGAGAAACTTTAAATCATAACACAATCGGCATGAGAATTGAGGGAATGCCGACAGAACGCGGAGGGTGATCGAGCCACCAGCATTTGTTGTCGATACCTGTTGATGTTAATAGACACTTTGCATTGGGCCAATTTACAGTTCATCATACGTATTCTCAGTTACCAACGGAATCACAGGTGTTGCTACATTTTCACCATTTCCAGTTGAAAATAAGATAATTTTCTGTAGCCAAAATGAACAAAAGAGATCAAGTGTCGAGAGCCTAGCTATCGGAGGGCTGGAATATAGGTCGTGCATCGGTAATGATGAGTAATACAATATTTACAAGTTTCCTGATGTGCCTATCGTACCCTTGGTACTGTAATCTGTGCTGTTATTCTAAAACCACGTGTTTCCAAAAATTAAGCCACCGTGCCCTCATATGAGCGTCTGTGCTGTGTATAGAGAGATGATTTTGACAACTAAGAACTGAAAGGCAAAAATGCTTGGAATTCGGTTTGCATTGTTTTGAAAATATGACAGCTTCTTCAGGCATTGAAAGCGGGGATACTGTCTAACCGCTCCTTACATCTTTTGCGTCTCGTGTTCGCCACCTAAAAGCTTCCCGTCTTGAGAGATAAGATCCCGTTCTGCACAGCAGTCTTGTACCTTATGGTCTTTAACTGAAGCTTGTAGCCGCGTTGCGATCTGCGTTTGTTGTACCTCCGGGCGAAAATCTGCGGGTCGCCATTTCCCTCCACGTGCGAGCGTACTGCGCAGTACGGGCGGACTGCTTCTATCTTATCTGTCCACCGATTCCACGCGAACGAGAGATGTCCCGTATTATACAAGACCATGGTGATAGTACCTGCTTATTAAGCTAGTAATGACAGCTGAATTTTTGCGTTCTTTGGCACCGCTTGCACGAGTAATACGCGGTAGATATGTTGCTCTGTGTCTGTGATCAAGAAACCACCGGCTTCTCTCCGATCCACGTTTACAAATATCTTCTTCTTCACGCATTTTATGCATGCAAAATATTGTGAACGCAAACACTGTGTTCTACACACAACTACAGCGAATACATAGGAAAGCAGTATTGGGTTAGATTTAGTCGTGATCAAGCCAAAATATATATTTTGAATTTCTGAGGAATTTCCAATCCGGAACAGTTTGGTAACGCAAACATATTTCTCTTTGATCATCATTGTTGTAAGACCTCAAAACGCTGCTGTATACCCGTGTACGCTGTAACAACGTATTTACCTTGATGTTATATGTGCGTTATCGCAGAGACGATCTGATATGGGAATATGAGGTAACACATGAGCTATGATGTTGTCAATGGAACGCCTTCAGCGCACATGTTGTTATTTCTGATGGCACGATAACGGACTGCAGTCACACAGTATAGGAACACCTGTGGTGTTGTGTGTGTGTGTGGAGACTAGGTATGTATTTCCTGTAAAAACCCAATCATTAGTCCGAGCTGTTGTGGCCAGGATTTTGCGTGAAACGTAGATAGATATCTCGTCTAGTTATAGCACATCTGGCTATTCTATACATGAGTACAAAATGTATAACCCAAATGTGTGGGCTGTGTGTGTGTCGTCTGCCTACCTGTTTATAGAGCTGACACTGGGAACTGTGTCGTTGTCACAAATGCCTTCCGCCAGTAGCCTGTCTCTGATCTCCCATGCGAACATGGTGGGGTTCTGTCGCTTGTACTCTGCAATCTTTTCAACAACCTTCGGAGTCGCCACCTTAGGTTTGGAGCCCCCGATAACACCCGGCTTGATCGAGCCAGTCTCATAGTACCTGAAGGGAGAGGAGATCAGGTTGGTTCACGATGCAATATACTGTATAGTGATCCTGGTGTGGTGGTTTCATTATTGTTATATTGAGAAGAAAACGAGTATCTGTACTGAGGTAAGTAATAAATATACTAGGGAATAAAGCAGTTGCTGATAATATGATTTGAGCGGTGAACAACTATTTAGATGGTTTGAATTTGAGTTCTTGTGATCTTTGCCGGATGATGTCACCGTTATATTACATACAACCCACTGGAAGAGAAAGACACAGAAGTTTGTACTAAGTACACATATGGCTGTTGTATTGCAGCATCACCAATCATACGTTAGACATTACAGTACTGGAGTGCACTTGAGCCGGAGAGACCGGTATTTTCAGCTTGATCGACTCAATCTGCCTTTTCCTCGGGGTAGGAAACCTATCTTTCCCACAAATAAGTTTCTATTTTCCATTTTACGCTCAGAATGTCGGACGACATTGAAATCCTTCCCTCAGAAGTCTGCAGACCGACCAGACAAGGTTTTGGACGGTAATGCACCGTTGCCATGGCAACTCCCGCCCGTGACGCCGAGGTATGACACAGTTGACATAGCCCGGGACCCGAACTAAGGAATCGACATGAAAAATGTACGCAAATAAAAAGGAAAGATGTGCTTTCTTCATTCGTCATTTTGTGCTTGGATGAGTGCTACTTCAGCGGATAGAAAGAAGCACTCAATCGTCGCGGAGCCCGGCCTCATGGCTTGATCCGGCTGTCTTCTTCCCTCCCAAACCCCCCTTGGGTACAGCACTTATGGCTCGCGTCCCGCTAAATGGATACAGGAGTTTCCTATCTGTACATTTGTTGTCCTATCTTCAAGGTTTCTTGGCATCTCTTCAAGCAGATCCTAGGATGGAGGGAGCCTTATTCGGAGACGGGAAGTCGCGGTGTCCCAGCCGACCCATGCGTCAGTGTCATTTCGTTATGGGACTCCTCAAATACAGGTATAAACCAGGTGACATGCAGGTGGGAGGACTCAGACATAGGGCAGGAGAGCGGCAGTATATCTTATCTGATTTTGTAGAACGAGGAAAGAGGACGGGATAAAGTTTTTCATATAGCTGTACGAGTCCATACGGTCACAAGTTGCTCGATATAGGAACCAGAATCATGTACAGAACCAAAGTGCATTGGCCATTGCAAGTTGTCCATCCAATGCCCCCTATAGCTGGGCATCAGTAACACGTTCCTGAATAGTTTTCTAAGCATTAATTGTAGACGTAACTTCTTTTGTATCTGCGTAGTTATGCTTATTACAAACTCACAACTTGTACACAAACTACTGGCATTTCCCTGTCTGCACAGAGCGTTTACAGAGTATCATGTGCGAATTTCTTTCAGACCGTGTGCATTCCTCCAGTACTACGGTACTGTGTCTATTTTCTTACGGTACTGTGTCTATTTTCCTGACTTTACAAACATAACTGTTGCTGTACGTAACCAAACCGATTATCTTTCTCCCGCGAAACGTGCAAAATGTGGCACCTGGTTATTTACACGCCACACTTCCCCGCGTGCCTCGGCACGTCTCTGTACCACCAAGTACCCCGGTGTAGGTCCCCCCTCCGAGGGGTGTGTCTTCATTTCAGCGGCATCTCTCCCACAACACAGCCATTTAATACCAGTACAAAGGCCACGGCTTGTTTCATGTTCAAGCGCAAACAACATTTCCTTAATCCCCCATGTTTGGTCTCTGTGGACGCTTCCACTCGGGGCATACACAAGATCATGTAGGAAAACAAAACCGGGGGCAGCCGAGAAGGGACGTTAGGGGATCGGGTTTGTTGTGCTACCGCCGGGGAGCCTGTGTGCCTCGCCACGCGCCCAGCTGACCGAGTTTATTCACACAACCAGTGGGAAGTCTGCAGCAAGCGTGGCTTCAAATTCTCCGCTTTCTCCCTTCAACGGTTTCTTCACATTTCCTTCTTTTCACCACCACACATAGACATACATTCCAGAGACAAGTTAACGGCAACGAACAATAGATATGTCACATTGAATTCAATCCGACTTGCACGCTCCAAAGTAGGAAAATATTGAAATTTTCATATTTCTTTATCGTTTGATTTTTAAGTAACAGTGACAGTTCATAGGCGGGAATGTGTACAGAGCTGCCTTAGGGATAAATCGCAGGGGAAAACAACCACCTCTATCGCACTCCTCAGACATAGTACACAAGGTTAATGAAAATTATGGCTTCCTAAGAGTGTAGATATGATCACTTTTGTGCAAATGTTGGTCCAGATACCATCAATTTCTGTGCAAATGCTTCATTCAAGGGTGAGAGATCAAAAGGCGAGGGGCCGGGGCGACTGGTGGTTGGCGGGCCCTGTGCCTCAAGCACCCGACCGCTAGACTCCTGATGGATTATCGGTAGGCTCGGCGACGGTCAAGAACTCCGAGTCTCTAAGCACGGGCCTACGCAAATGGGTCTCCAACACACCGGCTACTCAGCAAAGTGGGGTGTAAGAGCTGCCCAGATGAACCACGATAGTGGTGAGACAACCGCCAGGAGTAATGAAAATTACAGGCAAGTAAGATGACAGACTTTACTTTAAAGGTGAGCAGATAAAAATCCCATTTTCATCGCAGACGCTCAAAGTGCATTTGATAAAAATGCTGCCAAATTAAAAACGTGTGTTTTCTTGACAGGAGGAGATATCAAAAAGAACAGATACAAGAAAGCAAGTACATGTACATGGGAACATGGAGGAATGGAGGTAGGTACGGTATGGACTAAGGGTAGAAGACAACATCACACTTGACTTGGGCACAAACTCGCACACGTGGTAGCGACAGCAACACTTTGTCAGAGGCGGTTGTGTACAAATGTTTTGACAACGGCATATCCCGCTAATACCATATTTATACTCCCGAGCCGCCTCCCCGATTTTTTACGCTTCCTCACGATAGCTAGCCGTTGAAATAACAACACTAACGGACTGTGAATATTCATTGACTATTGGTTCCAGCTTCCTTCTTTCTATCTATTCCCGTTCTTGGACCATTACCCTCCGCCAAGTGGCAATGGCTATTTTTGAGGGTAAATCGAGTGGTAGACACTCGTAACGAGTAATCTATGTCGGTTATCCGCACCGCTGGCTACCGTGGTAAAAATTTACTGATCGAAGCTTGGACTAATCCTCGACCGATACCCCAAATCAACCCGTAGATGCCGCGAGATAACGCAGATCCATTTTGTCCGATCCACTAACACACAAGTGTTCCCAGGCCTGGAGTGCCGCAACATTTCCACGCTAGGTGTACACAAGTGTGTGTGCTCTCCTTCTCTCCCCAATACCGGTAATTGGCGGCCCTACTTGCCACTGAATGCAGACTCAATTGTGATTGCTATCTCCAATGGGACAGAAAAGGCTGTAGTATTCATTTGGTACCCACAATGCCATTAGAAACCTGGGCTTAACTAAACGAAGCAGAGCCGAGAAGGGGCCAAAAGCTCGCCACCTGCTCGCTGTGCAAACCTCCAGCACAAAGCAGTGGGAGTAGAAAGGCAAATGTTGACGATAGATGTTAGCCAGACACACTTGCCTCTTTATTTTCCAATTAACGGCGATTCTCCAGAAACATTTCAATGGCTTCCTGTGGTCACAAACAAACAACTGGGCACGCGTGGAGGTGGAGTGAAAAAAACCCTCACCGCCTCCTAGCCTGCGGGTTTGCCGCTACATTAACAAGGTGTTAGAATCAACGCTTCGGATGATTTAATCTGCTCGTATACCTGCCCTGTCAACAAATGCTTCCATGCGCCAACCAACCGTACAACGCCTTTTCATTCCTCAAATTTAGAGCCCTTCTTTAACTCTATCTCAAACGGTTGTAGGATCATCACAAATCTAATCCAGTTCAACCCATAGTTTCTTTTTTTGGATCATACTTTGGAGTACGGATTTGAATGTATGTCGAGTTTATATTGGAATCACAAGTCGGTTCAGTTCAATGTGTGAAAAACTCCAAACGGCACGTTTCTTCGAAATGGTAACGCTTGAACCTCCGGTCTAAACCCCCAAGTGCGCGACCATAGCCAAATTCATCAACCCCGGCCGCCGACAGGGAAAAGACCGCATGGATAGAAAACATGCCCCGTTCCCTATCATTATACAATTCTTGCCCACTCAAGGTAAATCGCTTGTATATCATTATATCGTTATAGCCCGAAGTGCTGACATAGGGCGGCCTGAATATGTTGGTGGTGAGAGCGCGAGGATTTTACTACACCATTCGCACATGGCGCTCACGCCGCGGGGATATACATGTAGCAACGAAACCTGCACAGAAAATTCGTCTGTCACCGACCTATATTTCCTCATAATCACGGGTACGTCGTCGAGATGTGTTCATCTCAAAGAGAGAATTTTTTGTAGCCTTGAGTCTATAGTTTTGCCATTCAGAAAGGGCACTGCTCCATATCGACATTTCATATATCACCATGACAGCTATAATATACGGTTTGGTATAACCTACAACCGCGAAACAGATGTCTGCATATTCTCAAACCTGTAATTTTCAGATTTCAGGAAATGGCTTCATAATTTCAAAGCGATTTGGATAGAATCAAGAGTCCCTGGTAGTGAAAGTAAATCTCTATTTATGGTAATGTATACATATGCGTATGGTGTAATGTTAACTTTCACTGGTTTCGTTTTACATACAGCACATAAACAGCGTTGGACACCATATAAACACAAATAAGATCGTGCAGACCCGATCTTACAATTCATGGATTTTGGATCAACAAAATCACTCAGGATGAAGTGAAAATGTTTGAAGGGTCTTGTCTTAACTTCATGATAGCATCAAATCTCTTTTAGTCTAAAATTGAACCAAAATACAGGCGACAGGAAATTATTAGAAAATCTTCGCGAAACATTTCAGCATTATGGCCAATTTTGGCATGTACAAAATAAAGAATTGAAATATATATATCCCTCTAAGCCGTTTCAATCCGTGATAGAATGAAATGACGTTTGATTTCAAAGAAAAGCTTGTAATACAGATGCTTGTTATCGTTCAAAATATACGGAGGGATTTTACTAGACATTCCGAGAAATGTCCACATTCCCGTACAAGTCAGGACTTAGGAGATATTATCACCATTGATCAGACATTATCCTGTCATTGCTGAGACAATTTTACGATGGTTTTGGGTATCGGTACCTTTGTAAACCGTGTACATTGATCGTGCTGATATCAGTAGTCACCATCAGTAGAAGCATAATATGGGAGTCATTGTATGTTGTTTTGTAGGGCATAGTAAGCTTGCCCCTGGTCTGATAAGAGGCAGTGTTATCATGTGAATTGAAATTGTGCTTACCTTCGTAAGATCTTACTGACGCAGCCGTGGGACACTCGTAGTTGGCGGGAGATGTCGCAGGGACGCACTCCCTGGTGAGCCAGTTCGACGATGCGGTGCCGAACCACATCAGGGAGCGGGCGGCCGTTGACGTAGACGCCGCCGAGCTGGTTCACTCCACCGTGACCTGCACGGGGAAACAAACGGAGAGAGGTTTCATCATCGTGCGTGTGTACTCCGCCTGTCGTGTGTGAGCGGGGCTCGTGTCGTGTCAGCGCGGGGTTTTCTCTGCTCTGTTGGCTTGTGTAGAAGCTACTGAATCGCGCACTCAAGGGGCAGCAGGAGGTGGAGAAGCTATGCCAATTGTAACGTCTCAAGCTCACCTAACGTAGCGAACCTCTCTCGCTCGATCCCCAACCATGACATGCCGCCAATTGAGCGGCTCGCCCCTCCTAGTGGCCCTCTAGGGTGGAGAAGGCTTGACAAGCAGAACCCGGGCAGGTTTGGTCCTGTGACACGTGGAGATGCACACTGATAGTGTGGACTTCCTCTGTTTTCTCTAGCTGCCGAATCCCGACTACTAGCTCCCTCCCCCACGCAGACCTCTTTGACCCGGTAAGATGATAGAAGCAATGATGCCAACATTGAAACGAAAAACTGGACGAGAAAGGACGGCCTAGATTTGGACCCCAGTTTTTAATTTCGCGTGAAAAGGTGAGAGAAAAGAAGGGTTTTCCCCGCGAGGATCACGCTTGTTAATCCTCAAACTGCGTCGATGCCGATTGCTGCCTGCGGCCGGGCGGCTGTTGTTCCGTACGGAACTCGGCCACCAAAAACACAACTACGGCTGGAGCGGCGATGCTCACTTCATCATACCTTCTACACTCATATTCTCCGTCAAATGTTTTTGTCTTGTTGGATCGAATTTGACGCAAAATGGAGCAAAACACGAACCGCCTATGGAGGAAACCCTAAACTGGTCCTAATAAGCAAAACTGTCGGGGTCTGATGAGGAATAGGGCCCGGGAGCCCCGACTTTAGGTCGGCCGAATCTCGGAGGGAATACCCCGCTCTGTTCCTCTATTATGAACTCGATATTCGTAATAAAAGCCGCACAATGCCTTCTCTTTTGCTATGCGCACGGCAACAAAGGCCGAGCCCGTTATTACAAGATGATTATTGGAAAGACCCAAGCGGGGAGAATAGAACTTTTCTCCGCTGACAGATTGGCGGAGTCGCTATAAGCTTGCCCTGCCGAGCCCTGGTGGTAAACTTCGTCATCTAAACAAATGCGACAACGGGAACAAAAACGCCGTCGGACAACAAGACATGGTTCTAAAACACCATTTCGTCTGGAAAAGGGATTTTATACCCATTCTTGGGTGACAGACGACTGTGTATAAATCAGGCGAAGTTTCCATTGACTTCAACCCAAACCCCGCGCGTTAAAGTCTGACAGATAGACAGACCACCGGGTATTCATTACTCCTCTACGACGCGGGCTGAGGACATTTCAAGACGTTTTTATCATCTATATCGTCTGCAGTGATACGTCAGTCTAGATCATCTCGACTTGTCTGGCTGTTGTTGTTCTCGTGGGCATGGACGGGTCGGCGGCATAAAAAGTGCAATCGGGCTAATTGAGTAGAAAAAGGTCCCTGCCGAAAAAACGTACGGGGCAGCGAGCGAGGACAATTCATGTCACGCGTGGAACGCGACGACCGAATGACAAATTGTCAAACTCGGTTCAAAAACTACCAGAGCAGACGGACACGGATTTAGATTGTTCACGGCACAACGTGGTCGTCCAACAATGAGTTTCAAAACAATGTAAACTTTTGTGCTGGTTTGTTCCTCAAAGATTTGTGATACTCTCCGATAGCGAGCACTGAAATCAGTCAAAGTGGGTTTTGGAAGTTTGGAGCTTCTCTATAGGAGGGAACTTTCTGTACAGTTAAAAGATGTCCACATACTAAAACTTGTTTTTCGCATTTATCACAGAAAGTGAATGGAGGTAAAAAAAATGTAGAAATGTGTTTCTGTTGAAAATGTGTGGTTTACGGTGAAGTGCGGTACAAAACTCACTCTTACAGCTGTGTAAATCCATGGCGTGAGCGCGGTTAGTCTGGCCCGTGCCCCCGCAGCAGCTGAAACAAGCCAGCGAGGACGACAACGGCTTCCCGACGGAGGGGTCACCGGGCGCCTGGGAGAAGTGCTCCGGGGCGACAGTGCAGGCCTGCCCGCCTGCTTGTCCTGTGTGTGCCGGGGCCCACAGTTTGGGGCCGGAAAATCAGAGCCACAGCCTGTGCAATCCGTTCACCAAAGGATGTCTGAAAGGTGTTCTCTGTCTAGTCCTCTTCCCTGCAGGACAGCTCCAGTTCAGAATAGAAGCCAACTTCTCGTCGTCTGTGAGACCAGTCCTCGTGGCACGGCACGGGGTGCAGTTGTTCTACTGCGGGCCAATTGAGGCTAACCGTGCCTTCAGGCGTGCCGAGCCCCCACGGGCGAGCTCACCTCACTTCTCAACTCCGCCGGCTGCGATCTCAAGACGTTACCGCGTGGCCCTGGTCTCCTCCTGCGGTAGGCACGCGCATGTGTGCCGCTCAGCTGTGTGTGGAGGTCCGTGCGAGTGGAGCAGGAATCGGTCCGGTGGTCACACCGTGGCTGGACTGAGCAGGTGGTCGCCACTCACCACTTCTCAGACGTGTACGTTACCGGCCGACACGTAAATAGGCCTGGTGCGCACGCTCAGTACCAAACTACACACCCCTCGTACTCGTCTGCACTTGCTCCACTGATCTTCAACTATGTTCGTCAATTTCGGATAGTCCTTACAATATAAAGCTCTTGCAATGAATATTTAATGCCATCTCTTCCCCCAGGGCTTTCCTTCTCCGAGACGCAATTAACAAATTCTAGGCACCGTGACCACCGGTTGGTGGGAGGGTTTTCGGAGGGGGCTCATGTGCGCCTGGACGTCACCACGTCCCCCAGAATCCATCCCAACATCAACAGTACAGTCCCTCGTAATGCGGTATTCATTAATACGTCGGTCCTACACATTAGCAATTACAAGGGGATCTGAGACCACTGCCAGGCCGCACAGGTACGCTATAGTCGCTCTGGGGAAATATTAGCGGCCAAAAGTCCTGTTAATTTCACTGATGGGCTCGGGATTACACTATATTACATTTAATAGACTAAGCACTACAAAGGCTCAGTCGGGTTGAGATGATATTATTAGTTTAACTAATTGATCCCGACCAGAGATGATTGTTTCTCTCCGTCAGATCCGATTTCCCTACGCGTTGCGCATTTCTTGTCTCTCGGCCCCCTTTCTGCGAGCTTCTGTCTTGTGAATTGTTTCCCTTGGTTGGCTGCATTGTTGGCGGGATTACGCTATGCGGTGTTGTTCTCTCGTACGGGCTGACGGAGGGCCTGGAGCCGCCTCCCCGAACCCGTCAGCTAGCTTTCCCCGCACAATAAGTAAGTGGAAGTTCATAACAGGACTTAGAGAGGAGGATAGCAGTAGTTCGTAACGACACAAGGTCACCGACAACAGTCAGCGGCACCGACTTGTCCAACTGGAAAGGTTAGGGCGAAACCAATGGGGAAACCATTGCCGCAAAACGGGAGGATCCAGGTGCACGACAGCACGACACTTGGCGGCTGCCGACGTTTAGCAAACACAACATGTAAAACATGATCTTCCATAAGTCCGTTAATATCGTCTAACTCCAATCTATCTTCTTGAACGTTCCGTTATCTGTGTTTATTACACCGGCGCCATTGCCTTCGACGTCAGCCGAAGTTACCGACCCGCAGCCCCGGCGGATGAATTTTCCGCGCGCGAGACAAGGAAACTTTTGTGATCACTTCTAGTCACTGTCGTCATTTATCTTCCTCTAGCGGACAGACAGTAGGATTCCCCAGTGGCGACCTTGGTGCCGAGAAAATCAAACCAACGCGATGCAAGTTCGCGTTGAAGACTTATTGGCTCATTAATGTCGCATTGATTACCCCTTAATTGTGATAGATTGAGGAAAGATGTGCTCTGGTTTGGTAATATCCGCCCTGTCAACACGGTGAAAAGTTGTTCTTACCCCGTTTGCCGGACTGCGTGTCCATTAACAAGTCATTATTCGCCTTCCCTTCGACCTTGAGGAACAACGCACTACTCTCTAACTGGCTGCAAAACATTGGAAATCCGCCCAGTTTTGACGAATTTGGCACATTTCAGTTTACTTTATGGAAAAAAAGGGTCTCAACCGATCTGACCACGGCTGTAGGCCGCTCTACAGCCAGCTGTGCTGGATAACTCAGTGCGGCGTTTTTACCGAATATTTGCTCCAAGCATTTTATGAAATCTGAGCGCGGCCGGCGAAATACGAATGCGCGAAACATCTGCCAAGTTCAGTCCGCGGAGTCAGAGTTAACGACATCCAGTAGAGTTTGGCATAGCTCACTGCAGGTGTCACTGGACATCTGTCTGGTACACAAGCCGTACTGACGACATTTTCACGTCTTACAACTATGGCAAAACTGTGCAGAATTAGAGTTATAGCCATCAAAAGTGACTTTTTTCTACATTTCTGTTTTCTAACTATTGTGAGAAGTGCGTATCTAAGTTTGTGATAGTAGTATCGTTGTATAAGTTAACATTTTAACAGTTTTAGTAATAGCTGGACATGGCTCTGAGCTGACTTGAATAACACACGGGGTAGGTTTTTGCGCTAGCAGTAAGTACATTTCCTCACATGATCTCATCTCTAGTTTTGTCCGAAGCGCTTTCTATAAACATATACTAATACATCTACATACGGTATATTACTTGCACTTTTACAATTCCAACACGTTGTAATTAAACACGTTAAGATCACCCAGTTTTAGCCAAAAAAAATTGCGTCTTGAGCATTTTTTCTACAGAATCATATTTACCTGCAACAACGCCCGTTCGTATATTTTTCGCTTCTTCGTCACGTTTAAACCGACTCAGCGATTGTTTAGGTGGTCGAAGAAATTACGCGTTGGCGGGGCTGTGTTGTACGTTCCAGTAGACTTTGTCGCATACACTACATACACATATACAAACTACAGTACGGGAGCTGTCGGGGTGTGAGGACGACCGCGAAAGGAGCAAGTAAGTTTAATACCTGGCTCTTGTATCCTTCTGCAAAAATATCATAATCATTGCAATCATGTGTTTAGGAATTTGATAAAGCCATTGTTAGTGTTAATCCGTTCAGACATTTTCAACTTTAGGCTTTATCAGATTTTATGGCAAGATGATATCATCTGTGTTTAGACGAGTAGGCGTCAAAGTTATTTTATTTATATTATCGGAATATACCTTTAACATTGACAGGTACCAAACTCGGGTCCTTTGGCGGAACTGTCCAGCCCGGAGAAGTGTTGCGACGGTCCCGAACACAATCACGGTAAGCAGGCTAATAACTGCCCATTCTTTATAGCATTTTGATGATAATTTAAAAGGATTCCCTCGATTCAATCTGAGTGTAAATGTCCGCCATGGCTTTTATTGCCCGGCTTTTAATATTGGACTACGCATGAGCCTATGGGCAGGCGGGCAATAAACGATCTGGTTTAGGGTCCCCATTTATAATTATTAAGAACTGCAGTGGCAATTTACACTTTATAACGTTTTATAAAATGATTCTCGGTTAGAATCGAGCGCCCATAAATCTTGCTCAATGCTGAAGGAAGGCGCTCGATCAGGCGGTGGCCTCCCCGATCTGAGGTAATGTCGTCTGACTTCGGGCCCACTCGCTCACCGTCCGCGCCGATCTGGCTGCCTGGCGGTACGTCTCGGGCTTACGGCCTCCACTTAGTCACACCGTAAGTGGGTGCGACGCGAATTGATGGGCGACCGCTGATACCGGTGCGGATATCCGAGCAATATTGGGGCATAATGCGAAAATATGTTTCCGGCGATCGCGCCTTCCGTTTGGAAAGGAAGCGCTAATAAAGTGATCGGCTGATGGCGGGATCGATTGCGCCGAGCCCCGCGCGTGCGTGAACTGACGCCGCACAGAAAAGCCCGCAAAATCGCCGTGACGCTCCCATGTTTGAACGCCGAGAGGGGGGAAACGGCGTTCGCGGGAAAGCCCATAGGAAGTCAGCGCGTGAAAATTGATGATTTAATCTATTGGTGTCTGGATATGTGTCGAAACGCACACGCCAACCCGTGACCGCTATCAGCGGAAAGTCACTCTCACCAAGACCCGCAACCGCCGGGATCTTCAACCGAGTGTGCTTACTTAATAAAATAATACAACTTAAGTGTGCAAAACCTCGTAATGGCCCAATCTATATGGTAATTGTGTTATGAAGCCTCGCGCGCCGTTGGACGGATGAGTGGCGTTAGTACTTTGGTCACTTCTCCTTTCTTATTTTTATTATCCCCTAGTTTTTAAGATTAAGGCGGGGAATCAGCCAGGTAATGTGGCGTGAGGTGTCTACGGGCCCACTCAAGCGTCGGCAGGGTAAAGTGGGCGCGAAAACGCGGGGACGGAAGGTGGCTGATAATATAGGGGAAAATACTAATTAATTCAGCGATCTTTGTACCTCGATCTATCAAAAATGAAGCGGGTTGCCCCCGACTAGCTTTCCTTGTGTCACCGGCAGATCCGACGTGGAAATGTCATCTTTCTCAACTCGCTGGGCTGGATTGCAAGGTGACAGAAGGAGAGGGGAGGGCCCCCGAGCACCTGAACTCCCTGACCCGGGGAGCCGCCTGCCATCGCGATTCTCCCAGCCAATTTCCCGAATCCGCCCCGGTGGCACGCCGGGTGCAATCGGCTGAACCTAACAAAAAGGGGAACAAATGTCGCCTTCGACTTTTAAGAGGAATTTGAGCGGTATAAATATGAATTGGTTCCGAAAGACATGGTCGGGACTAACTTCTATCATCATTCAGCTGCATCTGATGCATACTCTACACGCTACAAGAACTGCAATTTTCTTTGAAAGTAGTAGAATACAACTAAAACGCGTTTTTAGATAAAGTCCTTTCAGCATTTACGATGCGAAAAGTTTCAATTTAACAAAATTTTGAGTATCAACAAGTAGTTCATTTTATCTTAAGGGTACAGCAGAAAGTCGAAGGGTATAGCAGAAAGTCGGTCGGGTAGTCGTGGCCAAAAGAAATATTTGCAGCATTGAGCCCACTCAAAGGAGAAAATAAAGTGCAAACATTTTTTCCTAGTTTTCAATATGATTCTCGAGCTTTTACATTTTGTTTCAACCAACCCCAGGAAACATTGTTCAGTGCTGTGTTCTCATCTCCCGATTCAAGAAAACCAATATCTCATGCATATTGCATGTTTATATCTTAGTCCATGTGACTTAGAAGTACGTTGTTAAAGTTTTGAGTATGAATCTGTGACTCCGATGTCGGTCCCTAATATAGCATCACAACCTGGATCATGAGGAACATGTTGACCCTATATGCAGTCCAATTCTTCAATACAGACTTTTGCGTTGAAGACCTATTTTACTTCACGCGACGAAATCGACTACATAGAAAGCGCGTCTGTCCTACAAGTGAGGACATTTCATCTTCCTCATTTCTTCCCCTTCGATGAACTTGACCCTTTCCCCCGCCCCGCCATTTCTGATGACTTTGTAATGAATTGGCGCCCATCATTGGCATTATACCCGCGGACTGTTTAGGACTCCTACCATAAAGTCGTGCTCATTCTCCGCTCGACTGGGGCCTGCCAGCGAGAGACACGCTCCTTTTACACGCTCGGTAAGCAACTTAATCTCCCGATGCGATATACTAAAATACACCCCGGCATTAACATAGTTTGACTGCTTTAAAATTCAAGTGAACCGTGGAGTTCTGAGGGAGAGAGACTTTAGTGTCACCTCGATAATTGTTTTGAAGGCGACCTGCGTCAGAAGCAGTGGAGAGAAAAGACTTGTCTGGCGATGAAAATGGAGATAAAGGCGGCAGTGCCGTCTGGGGAGCGCGCGGCGATACTCGGGAGTTATCGGGTTATTCGTTGGTGGGTTCGGAGGATTTGTAAACCTAGATAAAAACAAGACGTTCCGCTGAGTATAATGAGAGAAAAGGAGAGAAATAGACTTCTGAGATAAGTGGATCAAAGAGAGACGACTTATGAATCCGCTGAGAAAAATATGATGCCATCACAACGCCCCAGTCGGAAGTCTCCGCGGCTCCAAGTCTAACTAAGATTTCTTAATTCACGGTCTGACCTCGTTATCTTCAACTTGGTACTTTCAAGAAGTACCGAGCTAAAAGTTTCTTAGACAAGCGGCAAGTGGTAACAATTGTCAAGGAAAACGACGCTCATTTGGACTGACGAATATACGGATTAATAGGGCTGGTATTGCAAAAGTAGTAAAATACCTGTACATAACATATAGTGATAAGTGCTCACACTTTCCGTTATTTGTGCATCTAGGATCTATATACATTGTATTATATATATATACCATAGCATAGCCATAACCATAACCGCCTGATAACTTTCTTCCTTGCCTTTTCCTGACAACGAAAAGAGAGGTCTAAGCTCAGACAGCCTTTCTTATAAGGTAAAACAACTAGGGTTAAGGATTTGAAGTTACCACACTATCTTGTTGCACTACTACATGTACTAAGTGTTACTGAGTGTAAACTGCTTTGTTATAGGCAGAGTCGAAGACATTTCGTAAAATCACTGTAGTGAACTGCTACAGATGTTTTGCAGTACAGGCTAAACCTGTCCAATGCAGAACTCTTAGCCGTATATAACACTTTACCACACAGACCACCATGGTCGCGTTTTTCCGTGGCCAAGCCAGGCTAACCACGG